GGTGCAAAGCAAAAAACTCCAGCATTCTGGGTACTATTATTAAACTGCTAAATACTAAAAATATATCTATTCAACTTCACAAAGTGAAAGCACATGCAGGTGATATCTTAAATGATCTAGCAGACAAGGTAGCAAAAAAAGGCATACAAGAAAGAGAAATAATTTCCTTTATAGTAAACGAGATACAGGGAATAACGCTCAGATCAACCTGGAATATGCAACCAATTGATGCTCTAATACGAAGCTTCATCAAAATACTTACCCAAACATTTCACAAAGCAGACTGGTTATTTGCCTCAAGCCAAAAGGATAGCATTCATCAAAGGAGAATCGACAACCAGGATTGGAAAATATTTAGAAATCTGTGGAAAAAAAAAAAGAAAAGCAAGATCTTTTAAAGCGAATAAAAAATAAAGCTTCAAACTAAAGAGTCTAAGTGGACTACTGCCTACACTGTATCAACGTAAAAGAAACCGCAAAGATCTATACCTAATAGCAATCTGCAGAAAATGTAAAAAGAAAGAGAAAAACTTTAAACACCTAACGTCTTGTGAAATAGATGAACAACATTGGGTAGAAAAAGAGTATTCAATTGCAAAAGAAATATGGGAAAACCTTGAAGACTCCGTAAAAAAGAAAATCTCCCAAAACAACATCTACTTGGCATTCACGAGTGGAAGTACCAGAGACCGACATAAGAAGATACTATCTGGCAAGAGGACTAATTGAAACAGACCTATCAGCCTCACTTATATCAACAAGAATCACCAAAAAAGATGCAGAACTAATAATACTTGAATGGTGGGACAAGTGGCACAGCTTCTTTCAAGAAGAAATCTGGCTCCAAAGATGTGAAGAAACTGTAAAATGGGAAAAAGAGTTGCAAATAAATTCCAAAAAGAAAAAAGAGAAAAGGCCCCAGACAATAAAGAATACCAGAAGGACAAGTGTACCCGATTAGAGAAATCTACTAAATGCTGACAAGGAAAGACTCAAAAGAAGGAAAAAAGGAAAAACTTTTTGGACAATTTTAAAGAAAAAGTGAATTTAGTAACGGAGGAGGTAAACAAATAGATATGGACCAGAAGGTGGTCCAGGTGAAACAAAAATTAAGTTAGATCATGATAGGCTGTAGATCCAGGCCGATGAACTGTATTTTCTCTATCTGAAGTAAATAAGGAAAAGATAGCGAGGTTAATTCTACTTTGGCAAGTCGCATATAGGTACCAATTGGCAACCGGGTGAGCTACACTTTAGTTTAAAATAGTATAGCTACAAATAGATATCACATTTTTTATAAATGTAAATTTTATAATATAAAATAAAGTTGTGACATGATTGTCAAAAAAAAAAAAAAAAAAAAACCAAGTAGCAACTTGGTCCTACCTAGGCATTCAATAGTCAAAGAGAATAGGAATAAAGAGAACATAAAGCCTAACTTCAGAAATGATAAAGAGGGAGCAAATAAGAAGCAACAAACTCATGAGGACTCAGTGCATAGCATGCTGCTACAAATCTTGGGTAGACTTGACAAATTAGAAGACCAAAGTAGTTTATTTCAAACAACACTCACAAGAGTAGCTCTTGCGGATCACTCCTAAAGGTGCTCTAGACACAATAATAAATCCCTCTAAAAGTAATAAGAAGAGTAAAAGAGAAGGCGAGAATAAGTCCTCAGGAGAAGAAGTTGGACAGAGAACAGCGAGTAAGAAGAACAAATATGAGCATTTCTGTGTGTTGAATATTGGGTTTCACAATATTAATGGTATAAAGGAAAATAAGAATAAGTTGAAAGCAGTTTTAGATTATACAGAAGAGAAAAAGATAGATATACTTGAATTAGAAGAAACAAACATTAGCAGCAAAGAGAGTTTTTTTGCAACAAAAGACAATTATACATATATCAGTATATGGACAAACTCCGATAAGAATAAGAAGAAAGGGTCTGGACTCGGGGTCCTTATCAAAAAAAGATGAGAGCAGTATATTACATCCCAATGTAGGGACAACCCATACTTTTTGAACCTGGTATTAGATTTTAGAGGTGTTATAATTAATATTATATATATATATGTAGCCCTGGATGACAAGGCAGTATTACAAAAGCTCAAATATAGTATATGCCAACATAAAAGAAAACCACAACAGTATATAATACTAGAAGATTTAAATATAAATACAGGTGAATCTGCAAGTAGTGATTCTTTTAGTACAAGTATAAAATGAAAAACAAATCCCAAGAAGAGAATAGTACAAGTGCTTGAAGAGAAGAATTTTTTTGACATACAAGAGTCTATACAGATGCCAACATGGTCAAACAGTAGCACAGAGACCAGAATTGACTACATATGGGTCTAAAACCAGTGGAGATGCAATATAGTTAGTACCAAAGTAAATGATATGTCAATTTGCACTAGAAGTGACTATAAGCTTATATGAGCAAGCATTCTTACTGGCCTGGAGATAAAAAATGCAAGACCTGTAAACCGAAAACATTTATACAGAAAAAGGGTGAATATTGATATAAGTGAGGCCTCTAAAGAAGAATGAGAGAAATATCAAAAAGCACTTGACAAAAAATTAAAAAATCGCTGGCACAAATATAAGCCCAAAAACCTCAATAAGGAGTGGGATGATATAGAAAGCTGCATCAGAGTAGCAGTGAACAAAAGTTTCCCAAAAAGAAAGACAACTCCTGAGATCTAGCAGATTAGCAAAGAGAACAAAGAAATACATGCTCTAAGACTAGCTGTTAAAGCATATACTAGAAGTTATTGCAAGGGTAAAAAAGGCATGTTAGGTGTAAAGAAAAAAAAGGCAATACTAGAACAAATTAAATCAATTATAGATATAAATCTATTAGATGGACTAGATAGTATAAATATAGAAAATCTTAGAAGTTGGGCCAAGATCATATATAAAGAATAGAGATAAAAAATTAAAAAAGCAGAGAAAATGGCAGTAAAAAACTGTATAGAAAAAAGATATAGTCTAATCATGTCAAATCAGAGGAAAATGCTGAACAGTATTCTAGACCGCCCAAGCAGAAAAATAAAGATAAACAGAGTAGTCAAGAACAATGAAGAGGAGCCTGAACTGGTGTATAAGCCAACTGAGATTTTGAAAGAGGTTAGAAATCACTTTGTGAAGCAATTTCGCAAAAGAAATATAATAAACCCAAATGACCTATCTCCAAGGTGGAAAAAGCAATATACCCCAAGAGAGGATATAGATGAGGCCTGGTTCAAAGATATCACAAGCGAGGTTAGTGAAGTAGAATGGGACTTAGCTCTGGCACAAGCAAAAGCCAAGTTAGCCCCAGACACATCCAACATTACCTATCCTTTAATAAAAAAAGCAGGAAGACATGTGAACTTGATGTTTCGTAGGTTCACTACAAAGTGCATTAAAAATAGCACGATGCCGAAGAAATAAAAGCTTGGAATCTTGTACTCAATACCAAAAACAGAAAAATGGTGCTATAATCTAAACAATGTACGCCCAATCTTGCTGCTAGAGTCTTTCCGAAAAACAGTAATAAAAATAGTAATAAACAGATTAGCAAGAATAATAGGGAAAAAAGAAATTTTAAAAAGCAGAAATTTTGCTGGCCTACCAGGAGAGGGAACTGCAGCACCTGTATATTTGATAAACTGCCTGTTAGAAGAAGCAAAAGAAAAGAAAAAAGAAATATGGTTAATGTTTCAAGATATGCGGAAAGTATATGACTCAGTAGAGCTTAAGATACTCAAGCTCGCATTAAATAGAATCAAGATCCCAGAAACCATAGTCCACTTTATAATCAACTTGTATGAAAATCATGAAATGGAGATCATTACTAGCATAAGTACAACAGAGAAGTTTGTAGCCAGTGATGGAATAGATCAAGGGGAAGTGATATCTTTCTTGGTTTGGCAGATCTTCTATGATCCCTTGCTAGCAGAGTTGTAGGAAAATTGCAACCAAGAATATGAATTGGAGATAAACTAGCCTGTTTGCTTTAGCAAAAATACCACTATGTGACAAGGTTTAAGAGTTCTAATAATTGCATACACCGATGATACCATCTACATTGCAGCCAATAAGCAAGAACTAGAAGAGACACTGGAAATTGCACAGGAATTCTACAAGCTCAATAATATTAAAATAAATAGCAAAAAGTCCGAACTCTTAATAGTGGGTGGAAAAAGAGAAAAAGACTTCAGATATATAGAAGTAGGGTCTACAAGAGACAAGGTGACAGAAAAGAAAATAACTGAAATAGCAAGGTTTTTAGACATCTGGCTCTCAAAAAAACCTAGTCAATGTCATGTTATTGAAACTGCAAAGAAGGAGATCAATTCAGTGACAAAAGCAATCCGCAAAAAAAGTATGACCCTAGCACAATTAATATACATTAACAACAGGGTACTAATACCAAGACTTAAATATTGATTCCAGCATTATTCCTTAGATTGTAGTAAAACACAGGCAAATTTGCCTGCGTTTTTGCACTTTTTTAGCTCTGATTTACTTTTTTAAGATATCAAAATATTTAAATAAAACTTTGTACAATTATAATTAAAAATAAGGATTACTTTTTTGCAAAATTAGATTTTATATTATCTCTTAAACTGTATTCCAGGCAAATTTGCCTGGAAAATTGAAAAGTATTTACAAATTTTTAAATAAAATTAAAAATTAT